TGTGCACTGAGGAGTCTCAAACAGGCGTTTGTTAAATCATTTTAAGATTGACCTTAATCAATTTGTGAAAATGAATTCTTCATATATGATAAATGAGAGGTAACATTTTATTTATTTTTATTTATTATTTCCACATATTTCTCCATTCTTCCTTCTGCCAGTTTCTCGTCTCTCCTGTTTTTGTGCTTAGTGCGTACGCATGGGTGGGAGTTTGCGTGGAGGACCGCACATTTTCCCGTCAAGTTAGTATTTTATAAATCGCAAACATTGCGTAGAAACTGACGTACGCCATTTTTGGAGCGTATATCCCTTTTATAAATTAAGCCCCTGAGCGCACACAAACACTCACAGCTGAAGTAAGTAAAGTAAAATAAGTAAAAACAATAAGTGTAAAATAGTGTGGCTTGATATTGAGTAAGAAAAAGGTTTATTATAACTCTGTGCGGAGAGCATTTCTCTGCGATCCCAACGTAGTAGCCCGAAAAAAGCTTACCCATTTAAACAGTCGTGGTAGATACCTTGTTTGTTTTANCCATGAATTCATTACATGACATGATACATTACATTACGATGACATGATACATTCATTACATGACATGCATAATTACATTACCATTACATTACATGACATGTAGCATTACATGACATTACATTACATGCCATGATACATTACATTTACATGACATGTATATATTACATGACAATGATACATTACATGACATGATACATTACATTACATTACATTACTTACAGGATCATTACATTACATGATAATACATTACATACATTACATGACATGATCATTACATTCCATGACCATGATATATTACCATGCATGATTACATTCATGACTATGGACGACTTACATTAGTTACATGACATGATACATTACATGACATGGATACATTACAGGCTTTACATTACATGACATGATAATATTACATTACATGATACATACATTACATTACATTACATGAATCATGATACATTACTATACATGACATGATACATTACATTACAGTTACATTACATGACATTGATACATTACATGACATGATACATTACATTACCATGATACCATTAACATGACATGATACATTACATTACATTTACATTACATGACATGATACATTACATGACATGATCATTACATTACATGTATACATTACATGACATGATACATTCTTACATTACATTACGATGACATGATACTTAACATGACATGGATTACAATTACCATTACATGATACATTACATGACATTAACCATTACCATGACATGATGATATTACATTACATGATACATTACACTTACATTACCTTACATTACATGACATGATTATATTACATTACATGTAACATTAACATTACATTCATTACATTACATGACATGATTACATTACATTACATTCATTACATGACTGATACATTACATGACATGATACTTACATTACCATGACATGATACATTACATGACATGACATGATACTTTACATGACATGATACCATTACATTACATGACATGATCATTCTCCATGTAGAAGATCATTTACATCACATGACTTGTTCATTACTTTCGATGACATGATACATTACATTACATGATACAGACTGCATTACTTTCTTTACACTCTACCCAGTGGCATGATTCATTACAGCTGACCCTGAATACATCTCCACTTTACAGGTGGTGATGATACATTGTGCAGCTGACATGTACATTACATTACATGATACATTCATCCGACAATTACATTAACATGACATGATTTTCTCTTTTGTTACTTTACATTACATGATACAGTACATTTTTCTTACATAAGATTGCGTGAGCATGATACATTCATTACATGACATGATACGGCATTATATGTCATTACATACATTAATTCATTACATTACATGATACATTAGAGTACATGATACATTACATTACATATTACATTACCGTGGCCAAAGTGATTCATTACATGACTGTGCTCCATTACATTTACATGAAGTGTGTGTACAGTGAGTACATTACATGATGTACGTTAATTACATGATACCCTGCCATGACAGCTGACATTACATATGACATGACTGAACTCACTGTTAAAGCAGAGATTTACCATTGACTATGACCAGCTACCTTTACAGATGACAGGTTGATACATTATCATGACATGATTACCATACATGACAATGATTACATTACATGCAAAGATCACTTACATTACACTGTTATCAGTACACCCTGACAGTTGCGTACATCAACATTACCATCCATTTACCTTACATTACGTCAATGACATGATACATTACATGACATGATACATTACCATACATGATACATACATTACATACATTACATTACATGACATGACTACATTACGTGACATGATACATTACTACATGAATACATTACATGTCACGCATTACATGACATGATACATTACCATTACATGACATTACATTACATTACTTACATGATACCTTAAAATACATTACATTACATTACATGTTACTTGTTGACGCTTTTATCCAAAGCGACTGTACATACCAATACTGTGGACAATCCCCACAGGAGCAATTTGGGGTGAAGTGCCTCAGGGACACAACGACATGCTGACTGCAGTGGGGGGTTTGAACCTGTGACCCCCTGATCAACTACCGCGCTATCCCACTGCACCACCGCTAGGGCTGCACGATTTTGGGAAAAAATCTAATTGCGATTTTTCTGACAGATATTGTGATTCGATTTGCGATATTTGTTTTTAAGCGACCCAACGGAAGTTTATTGTAAAATGCGGGCCATATCCTCCGGCTAGGAAGGTCGCATCAACATGCTCCCGTCCTCTAGGCACCCCGCAGCCCCGAGCTACGAGTGAAATAACTAAACTTACATGGAAACTTCCGTTGGGTTGCTTTAAACTCAAGCTTCAGTCAAGATTCTCCCTGTAATAGGAACATGTGATGGAGCATTACTAACCTGACTCAGACCGGGGTTCACCAAACCATCTAGGAAAGCTCCCTTGGATCCATTTGGAAAGGGCAGGCACTTTCAAAAACACTTGGAGGTGATTGGATCAATCTGTCTATCACCTTCTATCATCATGCTGTGATTAACAGTTCTGATGATTGAGCTTAGACAACTCTGACTGGAATAACAATGGCTGGTACATGTGGAGCCCAGCACTTCTGATTGGTGTGGGATGACTGACACACAGAAGAAAAAAAAAAAAAATTGTAAAGATTTTTTTTTTTTTAAATTGTAAAAAAAAAAAAATGTTTAAGAAATCGCAGCTTTGTGATTTAATTATCGCATCATTTAAAATCGTGATTTCGATTAAAATCGATTAATCGTTCAGCCTAGCACGCCTCCGTATCACATAGGATTAATACTGTATTATAGTTATTTTCAAGCAGTCATCTGTTTCTCATCATTCATATCTGTATTAATACACATATCTTGTAATATACACATTTTAATATATTATTTAATTGTGTTTTTTTCATATTTATACTTTAACTTGTTTTCTTTATATACACGCTTTATTATTTTTTTTCATCTTTTATTGCACAGTTTTACTTTTTTAATATTTGTATGTGTCATATTAATATTTTGTATTTGTATTTATACTTTTATTCATGTTTTTATTGCATTTGTGTACTCCTTAGTTTATATACTGTACATATATTTATTTCTATTTCTTGAATTATTTATTTATTGCACATTTAACATCTTGTGTTAATATAAATAATTGGGCACCACTTTACAATAAGACTACCTTATAAAGGCTTTACGAATAGTTTTAATTAATTAATTAATTAGGTTGTGAACACTTTATAAATCATTAATAAGCTTTTATAAGACATGAGATAAACAGACTGTGACCGGTTGCTTGCCAAATAGTGAGCCACACATTTATCTGTACTGCTAAGCCTATTGGCTACTTTTATTTAACCTTTATTTAACCAGATAAAAAGCATTGAGATCAAATCTAATTTACAATGCTCACCTGGCCAAGAAGGCAGCAACGTTACGCATAACACAGACATATCAAATACAGAGAACACTAAGTAAACAAAAGACGAAAAGCAGTCACTACATTGTGCACATTTGGGACAGTAAGAAAGGGACACTACTTATTACTGAAGAGCAGCTGGTGGTAAGGACCTCAGACAACTTCAATTTAAAACATGCTATTGAGACAAGTGCCCTCAGTTTGAGGCTTGATTGAAGGTCATTCCAAGACCAAGGACCATAATAAAAAAGACTTCTAGCCTCAGTCCGCACGGCAGGAACCTGGAACCGTATCCAGGCACTGGATCTGAGGTTGTAAGAGTCACAAACTGGAACAAATCTGGCACAAATATGTACAGTGGAAGCTTACCTAAAATGGCTTTATACATTAATAAAAACCAATGCTGCATCCTACGCATACTAAGTGAGGACCATCCAGTTAGGCTATACAGTGTGCAATGATGAGTCCTATAGGGTGCATTTGATATATATCGCAGTGCAGCATGGTAGAGTGGGTCAAGTTTGGCCAAAACAGTGGGACAGGCAAATCTATCAACGGTATCACCGTAGTCCAGCTGGGACAGGAATAAGCCAGAGACCAACCTTTTACAGGATGAAGTTGAAAAACAACATTTAAGTCTGAAAAGGAAGCCAAGAGTGAATTTCAATTTCTTTGTTAGAACTTCAATGTGGTGTTTGAAGTTCAGATTACTGTCCAACCAAAAGCCCAGATATTTGTATGTATCAACAAACTCAACAGAGACACCATCAAGGGTGTCAATGGAGAGGCAAGAGGACGCTGACTTGGGAGCAAAAAGCATTGCTTTGGTTTTCTTACTGTTCAAAAGCAGTTTGGTATCAAGAAGTGCATGCTGCAGCGTGATAAGATCAGATTTTAAATCCTCTACTACTGAGCTCACGAGTCTGTCATTTGATGTCATTTACCAGAGGCCCTCCCTGTCTCTCCTCCCTCCCTTCCTCCCTCTCTCTCTCAGGACACCCAGCGTTGGGAGAGGTCCGTGTCGAGGGTCGCTGAGATCACGTCAGCCCTGATCCGGGACAGGAGCCCCGCCCTGGTGGGACAGCTTCTGCAGGCATGAAGGGAAGCAGCATGGACAGAAAACCCCCTCACCATGACTCATGAACACAGCAGGGATAAGACAGTTGGCTTTATTTTAGCCTTCTTTACCAATTACAGAGAGTTTAAAGGGATACTCCCACCATTAAGTACAGCTGTTTCACAAAGCATGGGGACTTTCAGGACCACCTTAAAAGAGAAATGACAAAATTGAAGCAGAACAGTCCTAAGTGTGGGTCCCTTGGCTCGAGGGTCTAGAGACCATGTTTTTATAATCACCAGAAAGTGGAAAAATGATGTTTGTATGCAGTGTTCACAGAAGGCTTTAATGCAACCTGTGCCTCTTCAAGTTAAGAGAATGTGAAGTGTTTGGAGTTAATCTACTGTATTGTGACATAACTACTGCTTGTACCACTGGATAAAGTTGCTCATGACTGACACTAATATGTTATAAAATGGTTTGTATATATTTTTACTCCATAAAATCTGCTTATTTAAAACAATAAACAGTTGTTATTAATTACTCTAATGGTGGCTTTGTATTCATGGTGGTAGGACCCTTAAATCAAAGCAACTATGTGGAATACAGCCAAACTTATTTTCATAATTTACACCTGTGCTCTTCCTCATTTGACAATTAAAATTACTTTTGTAAACATTTGCTCTCAACTTAAACTTTGTTTTTTGTGAATGAGGCTCTGGACTTATTCCAGTGATGCCTCTCCTCTCCTTTTGTGAGTTGCCCTCCTCTGGAGATCACCTGACCATTCTCCTGTCTCTGCTGACCCTCATCATCTTCATCCTCATCAGTCTCATTACACACAGACGACAGCTTTCAGTCACTCTGCTAGGTGATTTATTCTGCTAAGCTGCTACAGCCAAATATCTTACTTACCTTTACTTACTAGAAATCTTCTTGCATATACTTTCTTGCCTTCTTAGTTTGTCATGGCCAAAACCAACAACAGCAATAGTTATCTAATGTTAAATATTAAGTTGCAGAATAACAGTGAAATATGTGTTCTCTGTTAGGCAAAGAAAGGAAATTACAACAGAACTGTCCTCTCCATCTCTGGTGAAGCATAACCAAATGTCTGGGAAAGTTGACCTTTTTGTTAAGTATTTTCTGTCCCCAGGATCGTGTATTTGTCACAGGAAAGGAGGGAAAACAGTTGTGCACATCAAAGAGTCTTAAAAGTGTTGATGCCGGAACATTCCTAAAATGACCACAAAGGCTTTGTCGCTCTGTGTTCACTTCTCAAACTTCCAGAGCATCTCCAGTTTCCTGCCGTCCTCTGCAGCTCGGTGGAATTCCAAGTGTTGATAGAAAGCCGCCTCGGGCATCTTCAGATTCCTGTAATGAACTCCTCACACATACGCTTATATTTCAGGGATTTCTCTGGAGATCGTAACTCACAGTGGCATAATGAGCGCTGCAAGCAACTTCTAATATACTGTAAAGTGATTGCAAGCTGTTGTTTTTGGTATTCACTCAAATAGGATTCTTCTTATTTCATCTGAATATCCTGAAACTTTTATGAATGTATTTGATTTCTTATTCTCTTTGATTTACCCCTTCTGTCATTTGAAGATGAACAGAACAGATCATTTTTAAATGACTGGGCAGAAATATCAAGTATATTATAATATAAAATGTTTAATAAGGACTATTTTCAGTAGCCAATTAATAAACATGTGGTGCTCTAAAGTGAATTTGTGGAAGCAGGAAAATGCAGAAAACCGGATGTTTCCTTTTGTTTTTTAACAGAGGTGCATCAGCCAAAACAAAACACTGGGGGAGGCTCGGGTGAAACCGGTGTTGTGACTAGGACATCATTTAAAAACAGGTTTTAGGTTTCCAAGAAGTCTTAGCGTGATTCTTACAATTCACTGATACATTCAAATATTTTTTCTGGATGGAAGAACCAGAGAGAGGTTGTGGTGAAGATGAGAGCATGATTTATTTATTGTACTACAGTGCCACCTGGTGGACATCATGTATCTGGTGTAAGTGATTCATTATTTCTCCACCAGGTGGCTATATTGGATATGGGTCGGTCTGTACAGGGACTGCAAGTTCTACTGCTCCTTGTGTTTTTTTTGGATAATGATTTGGTGAGATTGAGTCCAAAGCTACATATAATATGGATGCAACAGTATGCGTAGTAACCATACTGAATATTGTAGCACTTTAGAGTTCACGTGCTTCTCTTGTAAAACTCATTCCTGAATTAATTGGCTTTCAAATACTTGTGGGGCTAAAAGCAATCCGCCAATTAGGTTTTATCTTTTCATTTCATAAACAATTGAAATACCATTAGTGTTAAGAATCACCGTGGGTCAACACACTTTCCAATAAAATACAGAATAATTTTACAGAAGGACAATTAATTGCAATGTCGAATATATATCAATGCATACATGTTCACAAAACGATTATTATTCTATGAGAATATAATAAGAGTTACCGTTCTTTTCTTTTTCTTTGTAACCCCGTAGGCCCCTGAAGCCTTCTGAGGTTTAATTTAGACTCTGGCGAGGTACAATATGAACGTTTCAGTGTTTCAGAATGAGAGAAGAAAATGGTGTCTCTTCTGCTAACCGCTGCCGTGGTATTCTTTTTGATAACTCATTAGTTTGGGGTTCCATTGCATTGTAGACAATTATTTCAAAACTGCCTTCTGATTCAGGTTTTCACATGGTTTTCACTCTCTCAAGGGATTTGCATGTGTATCTGCATTTAGAGATCATCCAATAGGGGCCTCTCTCTGAAATGACTTGTATATTCCAAATCCTCCTGTCATGGGCTAGCTTTTCTAGACCTGCAAACAGAGCCAAGAGTTGCAGAAGTCTTCCCAGAGCACTTTGAATTGCAACATGCTGAAAGATTATTATGTAATTTCGTGCCGATGAGCCAAAAAAAGAACAACCTACTCTTCTTTTAAATGCTATTGTTGTAGGTGCTGCTAAATGGTCCAGACCTGGATGTTCTAGCTGCTGCAATGTCTTTACTCTGAGCCAACCTAGCTTAATGCTAACCAGAGCCACGGGCCTTTGCATAATACCTCAGACCAGGTCCTGTTTAGATAGCGCCACAGCTGGTGCTGCAGGGAAGGAGACTGAAGCCAGATCCCACAGTTTGACTGTCTGTAGGTCTGCCAGACTCAGACGGCACGTCGTCACCCCGACCAGCCAACCACAGCTCTGATTACGGCCTTGGAGTGTGTGCCTTTCCATACAAGCACATTCACTGTAGTTCTCTTGGGTTTGAAACCAATGTGACAACCCTACATTTAGATCCCTGATTCCCTGGCTTCATAGCCGAAGGATTCCCAAATCTGGATCACAATAAAAGCTGAACGTCTATGCCAGCAACGCCTAACTAACTGAGAGAAACCACAAAAAAGCACTTCTTCCTGGAGACTACAAAACAAACAGCGAGAAGGTCAAAAGAGCAGACTAAGAATATGAGGACTTTGGTCGGGTCAGGAAGCTCTGAGAGGTGGGATGCCAAGTACAATAACGCACTAAACGCAGCCATGCATACAGGAGGGAAGGTGTCCAGGAATTTGACCTCATGAAGTCATTGTGAGCCCACATTGTCTGCTATCCTGGAGTCTGAAACTCATTCTGATGTTGTTGGACATCAATGGGATTTAGAGTCTGTTTGTGTCGATGTAGCACAAATGCTTTCAGGGTTTGATTTTCATGGATTCCCACCAATGCTAACAATGAAATGTTTGCAGTCTCTTCTGATTAAAGCGCCCCACAATTGTCCTCTGAATTCAGGGAGGAACATCTGTGGCAATGGTGCCATCTGGTGGAGATTATGCTTGTCTTTCATGGTGGATTCAAAACAAATACTCAACAGTCAAACCACAAAATCTAAGCAACATTCAGACACACATTCAGACACAATTACTGCAATAATAGGTGCTGTAAAATTCAGATTGAACATGGAATTGAATCAGACTACAACAACAGATGGGTGTTGAAGCAAACAGTGCAGAGAAGCTGCAGTGTAAACATGTTGGAAATGATGTCAGTGTCTGTAGAAATTAGTTTATACAGAATTTGGGGGGGTTTAAGGAGTGATTCTGGTGGTCTGGAGGAGGTTTATAGAGCAAGTCAGTATGGGAAAATCCAAGAAGGGAGAAATGTAATGACACATGCTCCTCTTGCTTCACACCTCATGTAACATCCTGCTGTGAGTTTAAAAAAACTGTTAACACCAAATGCACAATTACTTTTCATAAGTTTAGTTTATTAACCCAATGAAGGAGAAACACAATACATATAAAAGGGGAGACATAAATTACAGTAAATAGGAGGAAGGAATCCTGAAAGGCTTATTCCTTTTCAAACAAATAAAGAATATCTATTACGAATCAAAACTAAACTAAGAAAGAAACACACAGTACAATACATATTATCTATACACACGAAACAAGAGTAATGAGAACAACGAAAACACCTTTAGTGAAAATAAGCAAAGGTCTGGGTCCGGTGTCTTTATAAAGTCACAAAATATGACCTGTATGGATAAAATCAAGTTCTTTATACGAATATTTTAGACTTTAAAAGTATATTTGGCTTCTTTGTATGTCAGTGATTTTGTTGAGTCCCCAAATCAAGATATCTCCACCCAGAAACAAGCTGGAAGGAATTTTGGGGACTTGATGACACAATCACAGAATCCAGGAGTATATTTTTAATTTGCAATTATAATCATATGCCTAATTTCTACTTTAAGGCATAGGGTGAAATACTTCTTAGTGCAGAGTAGAAGATGGAATTTACACTGTTGGGAATAACCTTCATTTAGTATTGCGTGGTTGTGTGCAAATACCAAACAACTGTAGAAATCAAATTTTATTATTGTTCCGTATTATTCGGCCCCCGTACACACACCCACATATTTATTCCATCCCCAACGAGCCAAATGAATTCCACATTTCTCCCCTCCTGAGCTGTCACGGCTCCACACTCAGCTGAGGCTCTCCTTATAAATGAGACTCAGCAGGACTCTCGCTGACAGCTCCGTCTGAAACAACTGGCTGAAAATGGAGATTCAGTCGACCGGCCAGTCAGGTAGTCAGTCAGTGTGAAGCCTCATCGGCCCCGGGGCCTCCGTGTGGTGCCGTGGTGAACCACAGCTGTGTGGGTGCTGCCTTGTGTTGAGTGGCATTGTTGCGAAGATATGCTGCAGGTCGTAGCAAATGAAGGCAGGGTTTATTTAGTAGCTTCAAATGAAATGTCCTGCTGTCTGGTGGTGGAGGAAGTATTATATTATTATATTTCCCTTTTGTCTCATGAAGGGATACAACCATAAAATAAGTAGCCTACTCCATTACATGTCACGGTCTTTCATTATGGTTTCTTACTTAATTCAAATGAAATAAACATTCACAGTAGAATCCACTTAAAAATACATGAGAATTATAATAACTAGCTCGCCAGACAAATATAGCAAGTAAATGTAAAAAAAGCACAATACAGAAGTAAAACGTCTTACAAATGATC